TTGTTCCGTGTTACCCCAAGAGGTGCCCGGGTGAACAGATCATCTTCGATCCCTTGCTGCGTCCCACTTAGGAATTTGTAGGCGGCCACAAGATCACCTCTCGGGCATCTCTTGCGGAGGCTGAAGAGGTCCAGGTCCCTCAGTCTCTCCTCATAGGGCTTGTCCTGTAAGCCCCTTAACCATATGAGTGGCCCTCCTCTGGATCCTCTCGAGTCTATTAACATCCTTCTTGAAGTACGGTGCCCGAAACTGGATGCAGTACTCCAACTGCAGTCTGACCAATGCTGCATAGAGGGGAAGTATCACCTCCCTGGTTCTATTTGTCATGCATCAGCTTTGCTGATGATTTTGTCACACTGACGACTCATGTTCATCTTGGAATCCACTATGACTCCAAGATCCCTTTCCGCCTCTGTGCTGCTGACAGGGTCACTTCCCAGCCAGTAGGTATGCTGGATATTTTTGTGCCCTAGGTACAGCACTCTGCACTTGTCCTTGTTGTACTGCATCCTGTTGTGTACTGCCCACTTTTCTAGCCTGTCCAGGTCTGCTTGCAATTGTTCCCTACCCTCCAGAGTGTGCACTTCACCCCACAATTTAGTATCATCTGCAAACTTGGACAGAGTACACTTCACACCCACTTCCAAGTCACTGATGAAGATATTGAAGAGTACAGGTCCAAGGACCGAATACTGTGGGACCCCACTACATACATCGTTCCAGGTCGATACCAACCCGTCTGCTAACACTCTCTGGGTGTGACTGCTAAGCCAATTTGTCACCCGCTGGACCATGTAAACACCTATGTAAAAGCCTCTCTATTTATGAGAATGGGAAAAGATACTGTATCGTCTTGATGCATGATGCAACAGCTCTCTGTTGTTTGTCAGGATTCACAGTATTATATGGATTAGAAAGAAGGTATGCTTTAGTCTGTGATTATAGGGTATGCGAGATCTGACAGGAAGCCCATACTGAAGAAGAAAGCTTGATGCTGCTTTTTCTTGTCTGATGCAAATAAGCCTATTGATGAGTATCTCTGCTTGTAGAGCTTCTTTCATACTCAGCGTTTGATTGGTCATGCATAGTTGATTGAGAAGTGTCTATTGAGATGACCTGCTTGTGAAATAATGAATATATGGAAGATATGGGGGGCAGTGCTGTGTGATGGTGAAAACACACAGTTGAGAGGTGAATGGCTTCCTGACAGAGGCAGTGATCATATAGCTCCTTGTCCCACATAATGCATTGGTGTGGTGTTGTCTGTCAGCATGTACTTCCCCTCATATAGAGGCTACCACTCCTGAGTGGATGTGTGACTCAGTAGACAGCCACGATAGTCACAGACATAGATTTCTTGAACACTTAAAGGTTTTCCTAGCAATATAGCAAGGAGAGAATTTCTTGCAGCCCTGTATCCAAAATGTCCACATATTTTTGCTTGATAGTGATTTCATGGAGTTCTCCAAAAGAAGTAAGTTGGGTGGATATCACTAGCGCTCCAACAGTGTTGGTCAGGGAAATGGAAAATGTATCTTAATTGCTCATACCTGAGGGACAAAAAAATCAGAGGCAGCCAGATCTTAAATGCCAGAAATTCAGCTTTTGTCATACCACCTTAAGTTTTGACACAGAGGGGAAAGGCCTCTATATTAACTAGAATAAGAAAAATGGCAGAAATCCAATTTTGTGAAGGGTTTCAATTTATTTTTTTAAGGATGTAAATACAACACTAAAGCTTTGAACTTCCCTGCAGTGGAAAGTCTTGGAAAAAATAGTTTGGGATTATACAACGTTCTGACAACAACAAATTATTGTGTCTGACCCTTGTATTTTGTAATACTTAACAGTACTGCATTCATATTTTTAAAGAAAGATATATACCAAATGAAAAAATGAAACGTTTCCTTCCTGCATATTGTTTAATTTGTCTTTTTCATCCAAAATAAAATTTTCTGTGAATTTGACAGCATTTTTCAAAGGGCTTCTGATTTCAGTGGAACTGCAATGGACTTATAAATACGTCCATATCTTTTTCTGATCATGTACTTCTATGTGTGAAAATGTTTGTTCTATTATTAAAGCAAATGGCAAGCTAGAAATTAAATCATTACTAACAGGAAGTGTAACTGAGTCACAGTAAAACAGAGAGATGCTGCAAGCATTCTGACTCCCTATCATAAGAAGGGTTTGGATTCCATTATCTACTCTTTTCTGCTCTACTCCTCCTCTCCAATTCTGTGTCAGTAAAGGATGGTTCAGTTGCACCAGTATATTACTGGTGGGACAAAGGCACCTAAGATTTAGGTGCAGTTACAATGGATGCTATTGGCTAGAGTCCAGTGTCATGTAGCAAGGTTCAGGCAAGCTGAGAATAGGATCCATTTCTTGTCTTTCATTATGAATTATTGCTTGAGCTGGAATTGTCTCAATTTATAATGTAGGGAGGTGCTCATTTCCAGGAGATTCCCATCAACTTTGGAATCGTTCTTCAGTCCAGAGTAGCACAAGTTTTATTTTATTTATTTATTTATTTATTTTACAACATGTTGCAGAGTACTTCTTAGGCCTTTTGGAAGGACTGGACTGCATTAGAAGAGATTGGGTTTTGGAATGAAGATCTATGGGTAGAGTATATTCTATAATACTGGTTATAGTTAGGGCTGTGTGAAATGCCTGTGTTTCATTTCGGTTTTGTATTTGGCATTTCAAACGGACAGCGATTCATTTTGGCGTTTCGAATCGCTGTTTTGTTTCAGCTGAAACTGTTTTGAGTTTTGATCCTGTTTTCACTCTGTTTTGGTGTTTCAGCTGTAGGCTATAATGGGGAATGACTAAAATGCCTATAACTTTGTCATTTCTTGCCTGATTTGATGAAAATTGCAAGGATGGTAGCCCCTTCTGAGAGCATATAAAACCAGCGGGAATAGTAGCCCCTGCTGAGGCCATGAAGCCTGCCAAGTTTCAAGGAGATAGGTGCAGGGGTTTCTGGGAAACTGCACTTTGTCACGGAGCAGGGTTTCTAGAGGTGGCCATGATACCCCTAGGGACCTGTGACTGCCAGCTCTGCTCTGCGGGTGCCAGCTCTTCTTGCCTGCTGCCACATCTTGTTGGAAAAGATAATAAGGGAGGCTGCCCTTGAGCTTCGGCTCAGTCACAGTCCTAATGGACCCCGCTAAACCCTGTAGGTTCTTGGACCCCTTGCTTGGACCCACTCTAAGTAGGTGCCTCAAGGGGACACCCTTAGCCTTATGGGCTAGATACATGGCTCCAGCCATCCCTTACTGCACCCCATGCCTCGTAGATAGATGTTGATATTGTCCCTGTAATGAGGTCTTGGTCTCACTCTACCTTCTATTGTTGCTGGGCTCTCTATGCCCCTGATGCTGTGCTATCACTGGTGCTGGGGCCTCTACACAACACAGTAGTGTGCCCCAGTGAGATCTCCTCCTCCCCTACAGCCTCAGCTCAGTCCATCACTTTAAATAACAACAGGTAAGCAGCAGAGTAGCACTAGCATCTCAGGCAGCCAAACTGTCACAGAGCCTTTCTTTCCTTTCCTGCAGGAGCTTCTTCTCCAGCAGCTGCCAGAGAACTCTCCCTGCCAGCCCCAGCCCTGGGGCTTAGATGTGCCCAGGGCCCTGCCTCCTTCCAGTCGGCTGACCGGGGACAGGTGGTAGGTTGTAGGCATGTTGGTCTAGGGACATGGCAGACAAGGTTCTTTGGGTGAATCTGATATCTTTTAGTAGACCAACTGAATAGTTGGTGAAATATATCTTAGCAAGCTTTTGGGTTAAAAACCCTTTGTCAGGCTGAGGAAGCACCTGCAGTTGTTGTGTGTGCTCTTCCTTGATGGAAGGAGTAGTAAAGAAGCATCCATTGCAGGCAAAAAAGCCAGTCAGTGGAAAGGGAAATGGAGGAGTCAGGGGGTGAGAGACAGGCTGGGGTCGGGGGAAAGGGAGATGTAGCAGGTAAAAGTGGAGAGGTACCTGGGGAGTCAAATGTCCAGCATTCCAATGTCTATATTGAGTCCATGAGTTTCTGTACCTAGGAGGTTGATGAAGTGCAGTTCATAGGCTTATCTATTAAAAGTGGTTTGTAAATTCAACCAAGCACTGAACCTCGCTAACCTCTTCACCAGAAGCCAACTTTCTACAGCCCAAAACACACTGAATGGATCCGGACCATGCCATAACAAGACATGCAAAACCTGCCAACAATATCTCCAGTATGGAGATATCTTCACAATACATATCTCTGTCAGGGCACCAAATGCCCTGATGGAAAATACGTAGGCAACACCAAACAACAACTGAACACCAGAATGAGCATACACTGAAAATCGATCAGCGACGAGAACACCCAACTACCTGTTCCAGTCTCTCAGGTTTGATCCTCAAAGGGAATTTACAAACCACTTTTCACGGACAAGCCTTTTTAGATCCCTCCCCCAGAACACTGGGATTGGAAGGGACTTTATGGCCAGTTGGCAGACAGTGGCCAGCTACAGATGTCAGTCTGCTCTCCTCCCTCCCTCTCCTTATTTTCTCTTTTCTTGCAAGCCCAGCTTTGAAACACCTTTGAAACGCCAAAACATCTTTGAACTGTTTCAACTTGTTTTGTTTCATTTTGAACATTTCGACATGTCTCCTGTTTCGTTCAGATTCAGAGTTTCAAGTGTCAAAATGCTCGAAACACCACTGAAGTGAAAGGGCGGTCGAAATTTTTTGCACAGCCCTGGTTATGTTTTGTTGGTCTGGGGTCTGGGTGTTGAGAGAACTGCTGGAGTGAAATTAATGCCATTAACTGAATTTCCCCCCCCAAAATATAGTCAGGCTATTTAGAGCTAGAGATGAGCTCTTGACATTATTTGTGTAAATTCAGTTTTAAAAAGAAAGATGAAGTATAGATGGTTCTTTATAGGAGAATTATTAACTAAAGGTGCACTGTGATTATATTCATATTACAGAACTACAGACACTTTTTCTTGTTTAAAACAGAAATGCTGGCTTGGGTGTCTGTTCAATGACTTGTAGATTTGGTGGTATTTTAGCTCCATTTGTGCCTTCAATGGTAAGTTAACTTTTTGTTTTACTGTTGTTAATTACTGATATTTTTTCTGTAGATAAATATTTTTCAAGGGAAGTTTGTTATCTCTACGTATGTATTTTTATGCCCAGCCTACCTATATTGATGCAATCAAATCCCAGAGTTAACTAATGATTTTTTTTAAATTTAAAAGTTCATTCTTTTGGAAAAGAAGCAAATTAACTTGGTAACTTGTGTGCATGTAATTCGCATTGACGTCAAACGTAAAGTGAAGAACACAAATTGTAGATCCTGATTTTTTTTAATATAGTTTATTTGAAACGTACAGGCAGTCCTCAGACTTACGACACAATTGGTTCTTGAAAAATGTGTCTTAAGTTGAAATGTTGCAACTCGGAACCAATTTTCTCATAACAAACAATGTTATAAATGGGGGATTGGTTCCTGAACCAAGGCCCAATACCCTATTTTCACCAAAAATACCCCAGAATTTTGTACTCGATCAATTATAGATGAGTGTAACAGGAGGAGCGTCCTCGGGTTGCCGTGCTCTCCCCTAGTTATCCTCTGTACCATGCCAAGCTTCCTACAAGCACCCTCAAATCTCGCCCACCACGACTTCGATGTAGTATGTTTTATAGGGAGGCTACCTTTCGTCCTCTTGGCCACGATTCTCCTGCTGTCACTACTCCCATTTCTAGAATGGGTGTTCCGTGCAACCCAGTCTTATGGGCTATGCGTGGCTCCAACCACCCCTGTATCACGCCCCAAGATGGAACGGACGATATTTGGTCTCTGGTCTCGTACTATCTCTTGGGCTCTCCGCAGCCCTGTCTCTCAGCGGTGCTTCACTGGGCATTTGGGCTCACTGCAGCCCTATCTGTCTCTCAGCGGCACCCCACTGGGCGTTTGGGCTCTTTGCAGCCCTGTCTGTCTCTCAGCAACGCCCCGCTGGGCGTTCAGGCTCTCCGCAGCCCTGTCTGTCTCTCAGTGGCGCCCCACTGGGTGTTCGGGCTCTCCGCAGTCCTGTCTGTCTCTCAACAGCGCCCCGCTGGGCGTTCAGGTTCCACACGACCTTTTCTCGTTTTGCCTTACCGGGCACTCGGGGTCGGCACACTCCCGCTGCTGCTCTTTCAGGCTTACATTGATCGTTGCCCCCCTGCTCTGGGGCCTCTCACAGTGCTGCCCCCTCTCTGGGGCTGGGGTCCCCACACTACCATGAGTCCCCTTATGAGGCCTCCTCCATCCCCTTATAGCCTCACCCAAACCGCCGGTCACAAACAGCAAACAGAAAGCATAAGCCCCTAGGCTATAACATAAATCTCAGACCTCTGGCTCCGACATTCTTCCCGCCACACCAGGGGTGCTCCATCTCTCACCATCTCAAGTCGCTCGTGTATTCAAGCTTCTCATTACTCTCTCCGGCAGAGCTCCTTCTCCCTTAGGCGCCAGCAGGGAACTGCCTCCTGGCCTCCAGCCTGTGATTAATATAGGAGCCAGGCCCTGCCTCTTCTGGTCAGCTGACTAGGCAGGTGTGGGTCACTAGTTCGCTCTGGTTACCCCAGCAACCAGCATCTGCGTGGTTATTCCAGCTCTCCAAGTAGCAGGCACCTTAGTGCCCTGCTATAATGAGTAATATAGCTACATTAATGTATTTATATTGTAAATAGTAATCATATTGATTTGGAAGTACTTCTTTGAGGTGATTTTGCTGGACTTTTTGAAGGGTTCTTGGCTGGAGTCTTCTCAGGAGTATTGGCTGCAGGTTTTTCTAGAGTCTGTCTGCTTTCTTAAAGAAAGTGTCCAAGGAAGTTTGGACAGATGTTCTCCAGGGAGATGAGCGATGCAGCGAACAAGCGTTGTTAAGTCGAAACTGACATCATAAAGTTGAAACGGTGTCAATTTATAAACGTTGTAAGTGCTAAACCTTGTAACTCGAAACGTTGTAAATCGAGGACTGCCTGTATGTGGAATGATCAAATACTGCTGCAGTAGCTTAGGATACAGTGGCTGTGTCAACACGAGACGCTGACTGCATAGCTGTTACTGTGCAGTCATTTAATACTTGCAAACACAAGTACTAAGTGACTGTGCTGTAACCGGTGTTACTGTGCAGTAGCGTCCCTGAACGGCTTTTTGGTGGCACTAACTGTGCAGTAGCTCATTATTATGCAGAAGCCTCGCATCATGCTTTGTGCCATGTGATGCTGCTGTGCAGTAGTAACAAGCTACTGCGCAGTGTCTTGTGTACATGTGGCCACTGGAGCATGAATTAATTTTATGTATTTATTTCTGATTTTCCATTTCAGAAATCTCTTAATCCATCTGTGCCATTTGTGGTTTTTGGAATCAGTGGATTATCAGCAGGATTCTTGACTCTTCTTCTTCCAGAAACTCTAAACAAGCCAATTGCAGAGAGCATTGAAGACCTGCAGATGCCCAAATACCAATCTCTAAAAAGCAAAAAGGCAGAGTAAAAGCATTTTAATGTAGCTTTTTATTAATTTACATACATCTGCAGGTCACAATATGGTAACGTTTTCCAAATTATTCAATCTGTGCATTATATCTTAAAAATGTTGGTTCTCTTGTTCCATAATGCCCTGACTGTGTTTAAGCAGAATTTAAAACTTTAAAAAAAAAAGCCTATTTCGCACTTAGAGAAGAAATCTTTTCAAGAATTGATTATACAGTCATTTTCATCTATACATATAAAAATATAGCTAAATCCATGCCATGTTTTTGGTTCAACTCAAGCAAAATGTTTAAAAGCAACCTGAAGTAATCATAAATTATTCATGTTACGTATACCTTGTGCATCTGCAGTTATTCAGTTAACCTTCACATGTGTCGCATTGTTCCTTTTTTTGTCTGGTTAGGTCTCAGATTGGAATATAACATTAAAAACAATGCATGACATTTGGGGAAATGTTGATCCCTCATTTATTATTCTGTTGTTAGAAGCTCTTTGGAACATTTTCTTGTTGTATATGTACATCAAATGAAGCTTTTGAAACTGATAACATAGTTTTTAGCTGATTAAGATGGTCAATAATGATAGATTTCAGATTATATAGCTACTGTTGTTTAAAAGGAAATGCTATAGTTTAAATTTTTAGTTTAATTCTATTATTGCAGCTGAAAAGTACAAATGTTTCTTTCAAATCTATAGAGTTTGCATAAAGAATCTTCAAAGTATAAGCAAAGTATTAATGTATCTTTGTGGTACTGTAGAAAAAAAAATCCTTAAAACCCCCATGTGTTTAAAACTTCATTGTGAAAAATATAATTATACTTGGCTCATGATTCATGCAGCATGCTCAATAAGTTTGGATGTGATTTGGTAGGTTAACAGAATTTCTAGCGATAACAATAACTTATTAGCTATATAGAAATACCTCAGAGGTAAACACATACAAAGTTTCCTGACACATTAACATATTATTATAAATTGCTTTTGTTAAATACTATACTTAAAAATGTATAAGCTTTAGTTAAATTAAGCTTTATGTCTAATAGTCTAATACCTAATAATTTGCTGTTCAGACAAAATGAAAAAAACTGAAGTGCACAGATTCCTTTTCCTGCATCTGTTCTTTTCGTTTTATTTTTTAATTAAATCTGTGAAGTAAATGTATACAGCACTCCATTCTACCTTTGACATTAGTTTATGAAACTGGATAGAAAAGTAATACATGTAAAAGTATTTTAATATTTTATTTCTTATCTATTTCACAGGTAACTCAATTAGAAGAAAACACTTAAACTTTCAGAAAACATCTCTGTAGTGAAAAATCCAACATCTTTTGGATTTTTTTGGAAAGATACTTTTACAATTAGTGTGGAACCATTGTGAGATACCACAGTGGAGGACATACCTTATGCCAAGAGATATAAAGTAAAATAACATTGCCAGTATTTTAAACAATTCATTTTTATATCAAGGTAAACTGAGAAGATGGAAAAACAGTTGGACAAAAAATGTGAAAAAGAAATAGCAAATCTATGCATTGATTTAAGGACTCTATAAGCTACACTTTGGATATGGAATATATAGTTTTTGAACTGATGGAATATTTTACTCTATTGTTTTGATATATCTTACTCCATTTGTAAGATATAATTGTCAGATGCAAACTAAACTATAATGGTGAATGGAAGTGCCATATGTATCCCATTATGATTAAAATGAAACCCCACTATATATATATATATATATATATATATATATAAATATAAAACTTACAGAATAGGTTGCAGGGCAGCCTTATATATTTAGGCATGCTGTAATTGTCAAAAATAATTACACCATGTATATCAATCTCCTTAACTTCTTTTTATTTTTAAACTACATAATACCTCACAGTATATTTCAAAGCAAGAAGACCAACGGTTTTTAAAGTTTGTTGTCCTAAGTATAATGTGAGCAACATGAGAACCTTGGTCAAATTGATCAAGGCGTTTCAGAGGGAAGTAAAAGAACTATAATGCTGGATATGTTTTTTCTAGATCCATTTAAATAGCACAGAAATGTAAAGTTAAAAATGACCATACTGGAAAGAATAGCATAGTGTTTTGTTTGTTTTTTGAAGAAAAGAGTTATATTTCAGTACATGAGTACCAAACGTTTAGTCAAAAATTTATTTAGAGGATTAATTTAGCTAGCAGCAAATGCTGACCTTAGGTATAGCAGCAAAACTAGGAACAAGATTATCAAACAGCATATATTTATAAACAGCATTATTATTTCCAGTAGGACTTGGAAATATCTGTGGCAGAAATATAAGAGTTTAGTCAACAATATGTGCAATTTGGAGTAGGTATGTTATAGATGTTATGTTTACTTGGTGCCCAAAACAAAGAAAATTTTGTAACAAATGTTCCTTTGCAGGTATATCTGCCCATGCTGTTATAAGGCTATTTCCAACATTTGGACTCTGGTCCTTTATTTACTGTACTCGGTAGGGAAAGCCATTGCATTTTGACATCAGTTCCATAAGTAGACTACAGTGCTGCAAATCATAACATATGGACTAACTGCTATGCCTTAATGTAACCTCACTGAAGATAATGGGACTCTAAATGGACACAGCATTTCACATGTGCATTATAAATTGCACAATTAATTCCTTAAACTGTTAAAAGGTAAAACGCAGAGAAAGTTGTGATTTTAGATTACATAAGCATAATTGATCTGTAGTAAAGCAAAGCATAGAATAAAGTGCAAGCATTTTTTTTCCTGAGGCTTTTTTGTATTTGTAAATAGAGGCTGCCAACAAGTATGTCTTTCTAGCAGGGGAAATTTTTGAGAAATTTCTCCCACCAGAACCTGTTCTGGGGGGTGGGGAGCAGTACAGGCATTTATCCAGCAACTGTCCCCTCTCCCTTGCTTTCCACACCTTCCCCAGCCCAGTGATCAGTCTGGGGAGGGTATGAGGAGCAGGTTGCTCCATTCCTTTTGGCTCCAGGAGGACTTTGCATGTACCACGTTGAGAGAGTTTTTCTCCCATGCGGCACTTCAGTGCTGGCTCCCATAGTTCTCCTGGGGCAGTTCCTGGTCTGGGGAAGTGGTGGGGAGCATTGGCCTGTTTCTCCCCTCCCTTCCCAGACTAGTCCAGGAGGGGAGGAGAGCAGTGGTATAAAGCCCCCAGACCAGAAGGAGAGTAAACAAGCATTTTTTCTTGAAAGAGAAACTTTCTTGCAAGGTAGATCTTCCAGGTTACTCTTGGAATATCTTTCCCCAGAAGGGGCATGCTTCCTCTCAGAGAAATTGAGTGAGCACTTGTATACTTCTTGTTTCTGTTGGGAGAAAAGCAATTCTCTTGGTAGAAATGTAGCTCCTGTGTGTGGCCATAGTTTGGTGGTTTACTCCCTGCTTGTAGCATTTATAACCACAATAAATAGGTATACGTCTTCAAAGGACAATTAAATCAGCAGAGAAATAGTGAAGATGAACACTTATTATTGTTGACTTAACAGTATACATATTCTGTCATAAAAATTAAATAAAAAAAAAAACAACTACCTAGAGGTAGAAGTAAGACATTGAAACAGGGTCCCCCTGAAGACATCATTGGTACAGTTAAAAGTCTGTATCCTTCTTCTGCCAGATATTTAATGTATCAATCTAAAAAATGTTTTCCCCCCTTTCTTTTGTACCAGATCCTGCAGAAAGCAGGAAATAAATAATCATCTTTATTTTATATGCATTTATCTCATAGTTATTTTTTATATTGAATGTATCTTGCTCAGTATCTACTAAGTATTTTGTATATTTGACAGTTTGATGATCACAAAGGCCTTTTGTTTTATATGCTTGCCTCTGTTGTAAGGAATAAAATTAATGGTACCCTGCACAAGATTGTGTTGTTCTCTGACTGTGGCTTCTTTCTGAGTCACATACCACAGCTGCACGCTTACCATGATTTGCTCTTATCTGCTTTACTATCTTGCTGTGTTTTCCATAAGTAGATAAAAGAAGTTTATTTTTTAAATTTATCTTTTTAATTTTAGCCATTCCAGTGGAGACATCAGATGCAATTTTGTTATTTTCTGATGACCAAATATGTGTCCTGCAAGAGCCTAAAGCTGGGAAATCAACTACTTCAATAACTTAAGCATATTGTGACAGGTCAGAAAGAGCACTATTTTGATGAAATGTATTCTAGTTTTGTTTTTTGTTTTTGTTTTTCTTTGGAGTAGATCTGCTTCTCTCTAAGATATGGTAATTTCAGATTGTGGCTTCAGAAAAGGTTATTTTGAACTGCTTTTCTCTTATTTTTAGTGAAGTGTAGATTGTTTGGAAATGTCCTGAAAAATTATTTACTGGCTGTGAAACTCTCCTCTTTCTATCACTTTTACCTTTATGATACCCTGTTTTCAGTTGCTTGTATCTTCACCAAACTTTTAGGGTTGACATTTTCTATACCATGTTTCTATTTTGGGCTGGTTTTAGCAGGCCCAACACCCTGCTTATAGGCAGAGGTGATGTGTTGGTGGGGGTGGGGAGGCAGCAGCGTGGTGATGGCGGCAGTGCAATTTCTACACTGATGGCAGGGCACTGATGGCCCAGCTGGAGCCAGTGCCCAGCAGAAGCAGGGGCGATGGCAGTGTGGACCCCCCCCACCCCCCACTGTCAACACTTGTGCATTGTCTATGCCTATAGGTATGCATTTCCTAGTTAATTGACAGTCAAATCAAGCGGAAATGTCTAGGTGACAGCTTGGAAATGCAGTTTGGCTAGAGAGAGCTTATTGGTGCATTGGAGTGAGGAGTTCCTCCTTTAATTATTCTTGGTCTCGCAAGATATGGGGGAGAAAAGAGGGGGTGGAAGAAGGGGAAGAGGCAGGTGTGGCTAAGGGATTTCCAGCATTTGCCAGTGAAAGGGATTTCCTGCCCCAAAGGCAGTAAGTGTTCTGGTTTTGTTTTTAAATGAAGAAAAGCCCTTTTCCTTTTCCTTGTGGCTGGAGGAGGAGGTACATATGAAGGGCTGTAATTGTAAAAAAGGTCTGAAACACAGGACTGCTGTTAAGGTGCTCAGTTTTACTGTATAATTTGTCTTGGTCAGGATTACTGATCAGTAATGTTGTATTCCAGTGTGCCTGCTCGTATAGACATTCCCTTGCCGCCTTGGAGCATGTGCCCAGGGCTGGCTGCAGCATTTGTTTCTGCGGTCATGGCAAGGGCTCGCGTTCTCCCCAAGGGAAACCCCAAAACTTTCCTGCCATGACTTGGGTTTTCCTTTCAGTGGTGGGGCTTCCTCTTGTAGCCCCTCATGGGTCGGTTGCACTTCCTAGTGGGTATTCTTAGGGCTCCACCTCCCCTACACCCCAGCAATATGCCAGCCTTAAAGACAGCCACTTGATGGTTGGTTGGCTTGCCCTCCAGTGTTGCCTCCTGGACCTCCCTCGTCTGCTAGGTTCCTGATGGTCTCGCCCTGCCCTAGGTGTCTTTGGGACGTTAGACCGTCCCTGCTGCTACGCCAAGTCTTCATTGCAGCACTGCTGCTTACACTACTGCCCTGACCCTTCCTATTCCCTGAGCGTTGCCCGTGGCCCTGATCCTCGCCTTAGGGCCCCTGGGGGTAATTCATGAAAGGAACAAAATAACAAAGAAAGAAAAGGGAAGTGTGGTCTTAGCCCATCCCCACTCACAACTCTGGCATCTGCAGCTCTGCAGTCCCTCGACACTGTCCTTCTCTCCCTAATTGCTCGTGGGCCCCTCCAAAGGATTCTGTCGTTGGGTCCTCTGGTGGCAGCTGGTGCAGTTCTTGGCCAGCTTGGGGAGCACTCCTGCAGCTTGCTCCCTGCAGTGCCTCCCCAGCTTTTTCCCCGCTGCTGGCTTTTATTTCTGCCAGGCAGCGTTCTTGTGTGATGTCATCCACCTGTGCCGCTTTTAGCCAGAAATAAAAGTGGCTGATGAACCGTGCGGGTGCCCCGTCCCGGCGTGGGTTGTCCATCTCTTCTCCTGAGAAAGGTAAGTTTGCCCTGTTTTCAGGGCTTTCCCTTTTCTTGTGGGGACGAGCTGTCTCTGCCCCGGGTCCCGCCATGGGAGGGGTCTCCTGTTCCCATGTAGGACAATCGGCTAGTTGCCTCAGGTGTCTGTACATGAATGCATGGAACTTGGGAAACAAGCAGAATTGGAAGTCCTCATACAGTCAAGGAACTCTGACATGACTGGAATAACAGAGACTTATTGGGATAGCTCATATGACTGGAGTACTGTCATGGATGGATACAGACTTTAGGAAGAACAGGTGGGAGACAGAGAAGGAGGAGGAGTTCTGCTGTATGTAAAAGAGCTATATGATTGCTCAGAGCTCCAGTATGAAACTGGAGATAGGTCTATTGAAAATATCTGGGTTAGGGTTAGGGTTAGAGGGGAAAGCAACAAGGGTGATGTCATATTGGGTGTCTGCTATAGACCACCAGACCAGGAGGATGAGGTAAAAGGCTTTCTTCAAACAGCTGGCAGAAGTTTCCCAATCACAGGCCCTGGTTCTCATGGGGCACTTCCGTCACCCTAACATCTGCTGGGAGGGCAATACAGCAGTGCACAGGCAATCCAGGAAGCTTTTGGAGAGTGCTGGGGACAACTTCCTGCTGCAAGAATTGGAGAGGCCAACTAGGAGCTGTGCCCTTCTTGACCTGCTGCTCACAAACAGCTCT